GGCTGTTGGGAGTTGATGAAGGGAGAGCCTTCAGGAATGGGATTAGGGCCCTTCTAGGACCCAAGGAACTCTATTTTCTTTCCTACCATGGGAGGACTCATGGAGAGGGTTCGATCCATAAACCAAAATGCAGGCCCCCACCAGAGACTGGAACTGTCAGCACTTTGATGTTGGACTTTTCAGCCTCCAGAACTGTGAGAAATAAACTTCTGCTGTTTACAACCTGATTGATTTGTGAAATCTTATTTTATATATATATATATATATATATATATATATATATATATATATATATATATATATGTATAAAAATAATTTGTGTGTGTGTGAGTCTCATTCTGTTGCCCAGGCTGTAGTGCATTGGCTGTGGTGACAGCCTCAGCCTGCTGGTTTCAGGTGATCCTTCCACCTCATCCAAGTAGCTGGAACTACAGGCACGTACCACCATGCCCAGTTAATTTGCTGATTTATTGTAGAGACGGGGTCTCGCCAAATTGACAGGGGCTGGTCTCTAACCCCTGGGTTTAGGCAGGCCTCTTGCCTCTGCCTCCCAAAGTGCTGGGATTACTGGCGTGAGCCACCATACCCGACCTGTTATTGGATATTTAAAAGGCCAAATGTACTCATCTCCTAGATTAATTTTGTTAAAGTTAATATGTTTTATTGTTACAGATGCTCAAAGTGTAGTGGATATTTATGTAAACTATGACTGTGACTTAAATGCAGCCAATATATTTGAAAGACTAGTAAATGATCTATCAAAAATTGCTCAAGGAAGGGGCAGTCAAGAACTTGGTATGAGTAATGTTCAGGTAAGAACTTTAAAAACATTTTCAAATTTAAGCTTAACCAAGGTAGGGCCATGTATTTTCCTTAAAAGATCTTTTTGTTTTTATTGTATTTTTGAATTATTTTGTAGGAATTGAGCCTAAGGAAAAAAGGTTTAGAATGCTTAGTGTCCATTTTGAAGTGTATGGTTGAATGGAGTAAGGATCAGTATGTAAATCCCAACTCTCAGACAACTCTTGGTAAGGTGACATTTTCGGCTGTAATTTTTCATCATTTTAAGTAAATGATATTTTGGAGGGTAGTTGCAGGTGTCATTAAACCAGTTTCATGACATGATTATTCATTTAACTGATGTGGAAATATTCTCTATGAGTTAAATAGTTTTAAAATAATGAGTGTTTCATTAGTTATCCAGACTATTTCTTCTTTCTGAATCTTTCTAGCAATATTTTGAATATTAGATAAAGTAAAGCTATATCTATGCAACTTTGTTATAAGATAGAGGAAACATGAACAAGCTGGTACGTTTTAAGAAGGTTGAATTGTTCATCTGTGTTTGATGTTAATCATCGCTCAGAGAGAAACTCATAGCAACAGGGCTACACTGGTGTTATTGAAAACTATTCCTCATGAGGAATGAGCTGAGAGCAGAAATCCAATGGATACTCACTACTGCAACTGCAAAAAGAATCCTTCCTAATGGTACATACTGTATATGTACAAATTACTGTGTTTTCTAATATCTAAGCATATGGTTTACGATGCCACCTAATAGTTTATTTGTATTAAATATATATCTAAGCAACATTGAAATGCCTTGCCTTGTTTGAGAAATTATGGTTTTTTTGAGAGAATAATGTACTGTATTAGTTTTTCTTCTTTCAGGTCAGGAAAAACCCTCAGAACAAGAGATGAGTGAAATCAAACACCCTGAGACAATAAACAGATATGGAAGTTTAAATTCCCTGGAGTCAACATCATCATCAGGAATAGGCAGCTATAGTACACAGATGTCTGGCACTGATAATCCAGAACAGTTTGAAGTCCTGAAGCAACAAAAAGAAATAATAGAACAAGGGATAGATTTGTAAGTGTCAAGGCTTAAGGAGAAATGTTATTGAATATCCCTCTACCAGTGCCCTGCCACCCCTTCCCTGGGTTCTCTACTGATTATTTTTATTCTCTTCTTATTATCACTTTATGAGCAAAATGAGGGGTAGTTGTCTTGGTTCTGAGAATTGTAGTGACTCCTTATTCAGCCCCCTTTGTTCTTTGCAGTCTAGTCCAAATAGATTCTTGTAATTCCCAACTACCGTTGTCATATACATTAATTTTTTTCACCATATTATGAGTGCTGTCGGTGAGCATCACCTGTACAGTTTTGCATTGTTTAGGACAGTTATGAAATCTCCCATTATATTTTCGAATCATATGACAACTCAAAAATTTAAAGTATGAATCTCCTAATAGCTAGCATTGCTCCTTTACAGGTTTTATTTTTTCTCCTCCTGTTGGGTTACAAATGTACTGCTCTTGTTGTTGATATACTCTTGTTATTGAGTTCATTTTTATATGTTGATAAAGTGATCACCTCTTTTTTTAGCCTGGCTACTGTACCAGATCCTCGTCTTGTAAAATCAATTTTCCCACTAAGTTTGTGATATCTGCTTGTTCCTGGACTATTTCATTTGTGAATACCCCCATCATTCCTTCCTTTTTCTTATTGCCCATCTCTCCTCCCTCCCTCCCTCCCTCCCTCTCTTCCTTCCTCCCGTCTCACTCCGTGCCCAGGCTGGAGTGCAGTGTCACACTCACCACCACCCTAGCATCGACCTACTGGGCTCCGGCGATCCTTCTGCCTCAGCCTTCCAGGTAGCCAGAACTACAGGCATGCGCTACTACACCCGGCTAATTTTTTATTTATTGTAGAGACAAGGTCTCGCCAAGTTGCCCTGGCTGATCTCAAACTCGTGGGCTCAGGCAATCCACTTGCCTCAGCCTCCCAAAGTGCTGAGATTACAGGCTGAGCCACCATCTCTTCTTTCAAAGAGTGCCGTAAGGAAAATGATGCTGGCCTTTCTGCATGGATCTAGCTACTGTAAATTAAAAATTTTCCTTGTATATTTACATGGTTTACTCCTTAACGCTATAAAGCATTTCTTTCTGATTCTTAAGCAGTGCCTTTTGGTGAATGTTAAGGTGTATTTTTTCCAGTGTTAATATGAAAAACAATTTTAAAAAATGTACGCAAATCCTGTTATAAAATTATAAAATCTTACAAAATTGCCTCAGGAAATAGCCATCAATACTTCATTTATTTTAAGTGTTCAGTCAGTATTTTGAAGTCCCATCTGTTCCAGAGCTTATGCAAAGTCCTGGGAAAACTAGATTAATGAAGTAGTCTTTCCTTTTGAGGTGCTCATGGTCTAGTAGGTGTAAACAAAAATGCATGTTAAAATTCTACTGATCACTCAGGAAACACTGTTGATACTTGGAACTATGTGCCAAGCACCATGAAACACTGGTCCTTGTATTCAAGATTATAGTCTAAATATGGATAAAATATTTATTTAAAAAATAGTAATGTGTAAGGTCTGTGAAAGAGTGTTGTACAAAGTAAGTGCTGCCAAGGTATGATAACTCTGAGGTGCTTGAGAAGTAAGAGGTCTTTGCAGGGGAGGTCTCCCCAACTTCCAGTTCTTTTCTCAGCTACTAGACTTGTTTTTTACTCTGTACAGATATTAATAAGAATCCTTTAATGTATCTGTGTTCTTAATACCCCTTTTCATACCTGTTTTGATGATGTCATCACTCTATTCTGTTTTCCTCCTACCTTTCTGACCATACCATCTCAATCTTGTTATGGGTGATTTTTATTTTCCTGCATACATCTTAGCATTGCCAGTTTCTGTTCCTCGTCGCTTTTCCAAAATCAGCCCCCTCAGTACTCCTACCAAAACCAGAAGACAAACAGAAATCTCTGTTGTTTCTCTATTTCTTTTTTATACTAGTGACCCCAAAATGCTACTAAATTAATAAACTAGAATCCTGGGAGTCAGCTTTTCACTTCACTCTTGAATAAAATCTGTCACTGAATCCTGTTGATTCTAGTTCATAAATGTCTCTGCAATCTAGTCTCTTTTCTCCATCTCCCACAGCTGTTCTCACAAACCATCAACATTCCTGAACTAGTATAATCTTTTAATTGGCTTATCTTCCTTTGGTCTTTTTCATTTTTCATACTTAACTAGATATTTCTTCCCTCTCTTGCTATTAGAGAATAAACCCAGAGCTGCTTATGATAGCATTGTAGTACTTTCATGATTTGGATCTGTTGGGCTCTAAGCTTCATTGTCTGACACTTTTTTCTTTCACCTTGTCTTTCCAGCAACAAAGAACTATTTCTTATAATATCATGCCATCTTGTTCTTTCATGTTTTAGTGTGGCCTCTTCTTTACTGGGATGTGTTTTGTTATTGTTTATAAAAGATGTAAGTGTTCTTCGAAACTCAGTCCCAGAATCACCTTTCCCAGGAAATACATTGTCACCATCTCAGTTAATTTGTCACTTCTTCTGGTGTGTCATTCTCTTACCTGTAATCAAATTACTTAATCATCTTACCTTGTGAATACATCTATTTGTTGCATTTTTACTATTAAACTTTAAAATTGTATTCCTTTCATTACAGTGAAAGCTTCTAGAGAGCAAAGATTGCTTATCTCATAAAAATATTTGATTTTAATGAATGTACGTGGTTATGGTAGAGTAAGAACTTGACAAGGGGAATAATTAGGACAGAACAGAGACAAGCATTACAGACAAAGAAAATGGCATGTGCAGCACCACCAGAGACTTAAAGGAAGAACATCTTGAGAACTGTTGCTCAGTATGGCAAGGGCAGGGTGGCGTGGAGGAGCAGCAGGAGGTGAGCTGAGAGCATTGAGTTGGGTCTAGGTTACAGAAGGCCTTCTTCTCCATGTAAAGGAGCTTTTTCTTCTCTTGACATTGGCTTGCTAGTGAAGCATTTTGAGGAGAGGAGTGGCATCATCAGATTTCTATTTTGTAAATACGACTTTGCTGCCAGCCTGAAGGATGGATTAGAATATGGACAAAACAAGATAGGGAGACAGTTTAAGAACTCTGCAATAGTAGTGCAGGTGACAGGTAATGACAGACAAAAGTAACAAAAGTAGGGAGTAAATGATTTGTAAACGAAGAGGTAACATTTTGAATTGGGTCTATAAGCATGAGGGAAAGTACCCCTGTGAGTGGACCAGTTGAAAGGCACTCGGAGGAATGGACTCTGAAAATATGTTTAGGGAATGGACTATGATATATGGGAGTAGATGAGAGAGAAGGGAGTAAGAGATCATTAGGAGCTATAGTGAGAAAGGTTTTGTGTGCCAGTCTAATCAGTTTGGACAAATGAGCCAAGTTTGCCTGAGGAATAAGGCGAATATATATGCAAAGTACAAGTATGCCTCAGATACTTGTACTTTGAGAGAGATTGTGGGCTTGGTGCTATATTACCACGATGAAGTGAATATCGGGGTAAAGTGAGTCACATGATTTTTTTGGTTTCACAGTGCTTTTAAAGTTATATTTGTGCCATGCTGTTAAGTGTGAAGTAGTATTATGTCTAAAAAATGTGCATACCCTAATTTAAAAATACTTTATTGCTAAAAACTACTAATGATAATCTGAGGCTTCAGTGAATTATAATCCTTGTGCTAGTAGAGTGTCTGGTGTCTGTTTGGCTGTTGATTGATCAGGGTGGTGACTAGGGTGGCTGTAGCAATTTCTTAAAATAAGACAACAGTGAAGGCACCAATTGACTCTTCTTCACAGAATATTTCTGTGTAGCATGTGATGCTGTCTGGTAGCCTTTTACCTGTGTGTAGTAGTGTTTTCAAAATTGGAGTCAGTCTTCTCAAACCCTGCTGCTGTTTTATCAGCTAAGTTTATGGAGTAGTCTAAATCCTCTAAATCCTTTGTTTTCATTTCACTAATGTTCACAGCATCTCCATCAGGAGTAGACTCCATCTCAAGAAACCACTATTTTCACTTACCCATAAGAAGTAGCTCCTCATCTGTTTTAAGTTTTATTGTGAGATTTCGACACATCTTTAGGCTCTGCTTCTAATTCTAGATCTCTTTCTATTTTCACCATGTTTGCAAATTACTTCCTCCACTGAAGTCTTAAACCTCTCAAAGTTCCATGTGGACTGAAATCAACTTCTTCCAAACTTCTGTTAATGTATATATTTTCACCTCCTCCCATAAGTCAAGAATGCTCCCATAAGTAAGGAATGCTCCCATAAGTCAATAATGGCATCTAGAGTGGTAAATTTTTTCCAGAAGGGTTTTAGTGTAACTTTGCCCAGATCCCACAGAGGTTTCACTCTCTGACATCTATAGCCTTATGAAATGTATTTCTTAAATAATAAAACTTGAAGGTTAGCCAGGTGTGATGGCTCATACCTGTATTTCCAGCTACTTGAGAGACTGAGGCAGGAGGATTGCTTGAGACTAGGAGCTGAAGACTAACCTGGGCAACATAGTGAGACTCTGTCTCTAAAACAACAGACTTGAAAGTTAAAATAACTCCTTGACCAATGGGCTGCAGAATGGATGTTGTGTTAGCAGACATGAAAATTATATCAGTCTCTTTATATGTCTCCATCGGAGCACTTGGGTGACTAGGTGCATTGTCAGTGAGCAGTCATCTTTTGAAAGGAATCTTTTTCTTTTTCTTTCTTTTTTTTTTTGAGCACTAGATCTCCATATTATGCTTCAAATATTTAGTAAACTATGCTGTAAACAGATGGTGCTACCATCCAGGCTTTGTTTCATTTCTAGAACTTAGACAAAATATAGTTAGCATATAATTCTTAAGGACCCTAGGAACTTTGGAATGGTAAATGAGCACTATCTTGTACTTAAAGTCACTAGCTACATTTGCCCCCAACGAGAAAGTCAGTCTGTCCTTTAAAGCTAGACATTGACTGCTCCTCTCTAGTTACGAAATCCTCGGTGATATCTTATTCCAATAAAAGACTGTTTTATCTACTTGGAAAATCTGTTGTTTGGTATAGCCACCATCACCAGTGATCTTAGTTAGATCTTTTGGATAACTTGCTGTACTTCTTCATCAGTATTTCCTGTTTCCTCTTGCACTTTTATGTTACAGAGATGACTTTTTTTTTTCTTTATGCTCATGAACTAACCTCTGCTAGCTTCCAACTTTTCTTCTGTAGCTGCCTCACCACTGTCAGCCTTCATATATTGTAGACAGTTGGGGCCATGCTCTGGATTAGGTTTTGGGTTAAGGGAATGTTGTGGCTGGTTTGATCCTCTTTCCAGGACATTAAAGCTTTCTCCGAATCAGCAGTATTCCTATCATTTGTGTGTTCACTGGAGTGGTACTTTTAATTTCCTTTAAGAACTTTTCCTTTGCATTCACAACTTGCTGTTTGGCTCAAAAGGACTAGTGTTCAGCCTGTCTTGTTCAAGATGCCTTTTTCACTAAGTTCAGTCATTTCTAGCATTATTTAAAGTGAGAAATGTGCAACTCTTACTTGAACACTTAAAGGTTATTGTGGGGTAGAGAGCAGTCAGAACACACATTCATTAAATTAAGTTCATCATCTTATGTAGACGTGGTTTTTGGCACCCCAGAACAATTACAACAGTAACATCAAAGATGACTGATCACAAAACAGCACTACAGATAAAATAATGGTGAAAAAAATTTGAGAATCACCTAAGTGTGACACAAAAGTGAGCACATGCTTTTGGAAAAATGGTTCCAATAGACTTGTTCGATGCAGCGTTTCTGTAAACCGTCACTTTGTTTTTTTAAAAAAAAAAAACAAACCACTATCTGCAAAGTGTAATAAAGTGAAATTCAATAAAACAAGGTTTGTCTATATGAGATATTTAGTATTCACAGACCACTCTAAGTTCATCTACTACATGACATTGTTTCTAATAGTCTAGTTTACCATTGTTGATATGAATTTTAAAAAATACTGTGCTGCAGCAACCAGCCTGAAATTATTCATGTCAGTGATAAAGATGGCCTTCCATTTGAGACTCATTTAAAAAATAAAAATAAAGAAGACTATGCACAATGTAATCATTTTGTACATTCATGTGTTGATTCTATTAAATAAGCTCCTATTTTCAAAGTGCTGTTAGAAAAACGTACTGTGGTTTAAGATCTTTTCAGGGAATACAAATGATTTTCTATTTTTAATGTGTTTATTAACTTTAACATCTCCTAGATTTAATAAGAAACCAAAGAGAGGAATACAATACCTCCAAGAACAAGGTATGCTTGGCACTACACCTGAAGATATTGCCCAGTTCTTACATCAAGAGGAAAGATTAGACTCTGTAAGAATACAGTTTTATTTCATTCTAATCTTTTCTTCTTCTTTAAAATTCTTAAGTTAACAATACATATTGTGGGACTTTTAAAGCAATTAAAGCCTAAAGAATAACCTTGTTATAATATAAATATCTGTAGTTAGCCCTCCATATTTGTGGGTTCTGCATCTGTGGATTCAGCCAACCATAGATTGAAAATATTCAGGAGGAAAAAAATAAATGGTTGCATCTGTATTGAACATGTACAGACTTTTTTCTTGTCATTATTCCCTAAACAGTACAGTATAACAACAGCTTATATAGCATTAACATTGTATTAGACGTTATAAGTAATCTAGGAACAATTTAAAGTATATGGGAGGATATATGTAGGTTATATGCAAATATTGTGCCATTTTATATAAGGGACCTGAGCATTCATGGGTTCTGGTATCCAAGAGGGGGTCCTGGAACCATTTCCCCATGGATACTGAGGGATGACTGTGTGTGTGTGTGTGTGTGTATGTGTGTGTGTGTGTGTGTGTGTGTGTGTGTGTGTGTGTGTGTGTGTGTATGTACCATTTCCCCATGGATACTGAGGGATGACTGTGTGTGTGTGTGTGTGTGTACCAGGAGTGCCCATGGATACTGAGGGATGACTCTGTGTGTGTGTGTGTGTAGGGATCCTGGAACCATTTCCCCATGGATACTGAGGGATGTCTGTGTGTGTGTGTGTGTGTGTGTGTGTGTGTGTGTATATACCAGGAGTGCCCATGGATATTGAGGGATGACTCTGTGTGTGTGTGTGTGTGTGTGTGTGTGTACCAGGAGTGCCAAAAAATTGTAAACACATTTTAAGCGATGTATGCGTTACTTTTCTAAGTCGAATCAAATTACAGTAGCAATGTGGAATATGACATTTGCTCAAAAGATGATATTAATCAAATGAATGCTAGCAAAACAGTACATTAAACTTTTCACTTCCTGTTTGAAATTGCTAACTCTGTAGTCAAAAACCTGTAGATCTGACAGATTTTTCTGCCTTTTAAATGACTTTGTGGTGAATGTAACATGCCATTGGCAAATCAATTTCTATCTTCTGTTTTTACTTTAGACTCAAGTGGGTGAGTTCCTGGGAGATAATGATAAATTTAACAAAGAAGTCATGTATGCATATGTGGACCAACATGACTTTTCAGGAAAAGACTTCGTTTCAGCCCTTCGCATGTTTCTGGAAGGATTCCGTCTTCCAGGAGAAGCTCAGAAAATTGATCGATTAATGGAAAAATTTGCTGCAAGATACCTAGAATGCAACCAAGGGTAAATAAGGTTCAAATGCTTAATATTGTAAAATTATTTCATTTTACTTAATTATTTGTTTTGAGTTGGGGGTCTCACTCTGTCACTTGGGTTGGAGTGCAGAGGCATGATTATGGCTCACTGCAACATCAACCTTCGGGGCTCAGGCAGTCCTTCCGCCTTTGCCTCCCAAGTATCCGGGAGTACAGGCACGTGCCACACACCTGACTAATTTGTTTTTGGTAGTGATAAGGTCTTGCTGTGTTGCATAGGCTGGTCTCAAACTCCTGAGCTCAAGCAGTCCTCCCATCTCAGCCTCCCAAAGTGCTGGGTTTACAGGCATGAGTTACTGTGCCTGGGCTTCAAATGCTTATTGGTTGTCAGCTATATCCAAGACACTATGTTAGGAAGCATCCAGGGATTTAAGAAATAATAGGACATAATCTCCTGTCTTAAAGAATTTAGATTTTCTATAATCTGGAAGTAATAAAAACAAGTCATTAAAAATTGTCATGTGAGATATTGAGAGAGAAAATTAAAGTGATATGGGATTTGAGGTGACTTATTTCATAAAACTGTAAAAGTTTATAACACAATACATTTATTTTTCCAGACAAACCCTTTTTGCTAGTGCAGATACTGCTTATGTTTTGGCTTACTCAATTATCATGTTGACCACAGACCTTCACAGTCCACAGGTAGGTGTTACTCTAAGTCAGTTTTATAATCAGTAGTAAAAAAGTAAATACCTTTTTTAATTCAATAAGTGCTGGTTGAAACTTTAATCTGATTCAGTTAAACCAATCACCAAATTGAGGTATGTACATTTTACTTGAGGTGGTATACATTTTACAAAAGCAATTTCTGGTAGTAATTCTAATTAGACTTATAGTTATCTATAAAATATATCTATATTTGTCAGTCTCTGATTGACAACTATATAAAGCTAAAGAAAAATTTTGATCTAAAAAAGTATTTATACTTTTTTGGTCTTAGGTCTCCTCTTGCTATTTGTCGCAACATGGAAAAACACCACATATAAATGAACTTTTAAAAGTGACATTTCAAACTTAAACAGTAGAGAGATTAGTATAATGAACCTACATGTCCCATCACCCAGCTTCCACAGTTAGCAGCTTTTTGTCAATCTTGTTCTGTCTACATCGCTTCCTTCCCCTAGGTAATTTAGAAGCAAATGCCAAATATCATGTCATCTACATTTATTTTACTATGTGTCTCTAGAAGAGAGGTAAATTATCTTTATAAATTAACTTATTTGCAAGAATTTCTTTGTACTTCTAGGGGTAGATATCTAATGATCTTATTGTTTTTAGGATGTAAAATAAAGTGTATAGTTGCTAATCTGAGATGTATTGGAAAAATAAAAATTTATGTGAAGTTTGAGATTAAACTTTGCTATAGTATTTTTTGTGTCTGTTTTGGGCTATTTAAGGAAAGGTTGATATAGAAAATATACCAAACATAAAGTGGGGGGTTATATATGAAGTTAATCCTGTCTTAAACACTAGAATTGAACAACTACATTTACCACAGATTTACTTGCTTTTATATAGGATTTTAAAAAAATTATCTAATATTTTAATAATGTAAGATTTGCCTTTCCCATATTATTGGCAATATAGTCAAAGCAGCTTACCATCTGGTTTCTTATTACCCAGCATGATTATTTTTTCCCATGGTTTTATAAGGCAGTCCACAGGTAATGATTTATTTAGATAACTTTGCATCAGCGTTTTCAGCCTGATTTTTCATCTGATTTTCAGTCTAAATCATAGTATTTATAACCTAGGCTTTATATATCTTTGGTTTTAGAAGGTTATACTTTTAGAGACATTTGGTTCTATAAATGAATAAGGAATACTGTATACATCTGTGCCATGTCTTTCTCTCCATCGTGTTATTTTGAAGAAATATTAAAAATTCCTTTTGTATCTTTTCTTAAGAACCCAGCTTATGATAAATTTTTGAAGGCATACCATTTAGGGAGCACTATCTTGAGAACAGTGTCCTATTTCAGTGTAATAGTGCCTGTTTGTAGAACATGTGCTTGAAGTCCTTGTCTAGCAGTGGCAACTGCTTGTTGTCAGCCATTCTTTGTCAGCCTGCTGCCTGGCATGTGCTAATATGCAGCCTGCAGCTGTGGAACAGCTTGGCAATTCTTGTGAAGCTAAGTAGCCTGTTAGAAAATTGAACCCATAATTGTGGCCCTAGTTGATTTAGTTAAGAACCATGTGAACCATACCAAATGACAACACTTTAAAATACACGTAATTTTAAAGGAATTTATTAAAACAATTCTCATTTTAGTTACTTTCAAACTTAAGATATAGGTGAATTTGAACAAGCCATTTATGTCCCTTTTTCACTTAGAATATTTATAATTAGGCTACCTTTTACGTATAGTGTGAGTGAGTCAGTGATTTTTTTTTAACTTTGAGGTATATTTAAAACATGCTTAATTTTTGGTGTACATTAATCAGCACTAGTAACCACCTGCTTTTAGTGACTTAAACACTAAACAGGCACAGTTTAATTTAAGCATGTGAGAATAAAAGTCAAGAGTAGAGTGTTTCATAAAAGATGTCAGACAAAGAAAAGTAGGATTGGATTTTACATGGTTTCCAGAATCATATTGTGGCAAGTGTTCTGTGTGAAGCAGTGTGCTTTATTTTGGGTGCCTGAAAGCAAAGTATTCTCTTATCTCACTTTTGGGAGACCCAACCCATATCCACAGACAGTTAACTGCTATTTTAGATTTTTTTTGTCAAGACTTCCCTTTTCATCTGACTGGCATGATGATATGTTCAAAATTTCCAGGTGATTGTAATCTTTTGTTGTTGACGTCTTATTGGCAGCACTTGTGTGGTCTTTTATTGTGTTATTCCTGTTTTTCAGTCAGAACTTTAAAACACCTTTCTTTCTTTCATATTTTTTAGTGCCATACCTCAAGATGAGCTTTAAAAGTTATAATATGATAGTTTTATTCCCTTAGTTACATTTTAATACTTTCATAGTAAGATTTTTACATTTTTATAGGTAAAGAATTCCTACCATTCTGTGTGATACATTAGAAAGATGCTTACAGAGTAATCTGAAGTAAATAAGTGTGTGTATTCCAGTTATGTTTTCTGAGTAGTCTGGTTTCTCCATAGTTTTGTTTGTTTTTTGTAGTGAGATAGAGTAAGCAACATGGGGCACTAATTAAACACATGTTATGCATTAGACACTACACTAAAAGTCTGTCCATGTGTTATCTTATTTAATCTTCACATACACTTTATGGAGAAAGTAATGTTATTATGCATTTTTTACATAAAATGCATTAGATGAGGTAACTGAATCTTCTGCCTCAGCCTCCCGGATAGCTGAAACTACAAGCATGCCACTGTACCCAGCTCTCTATAGTTTTTTTGCAAGTTTTTGATTACTTGTTTGCTTGATTGATGTTCTTTGTGCATTCATGTAAATTTTACAGGAACCTTATCTTTAGAGTTACCTTAAATTCTTTATGGAAGTTGGTAAGAATATAAGACTTCAGGTTTTCTCTGGGTTTCTGGAGATACAGTGTAATCATTTTGGCTGTACTAGTTCCCAAGTTTGGTGATGGGCTACCATGTTTCAGACAATCAAGCTTGTATTTCAACAGCTTTATCAAGGTACAATGTAGGGCACTCCTGTTTAGGGTACTTGTAATCAAGACAAAACATTCTCAATTACTCTGATTCTCCTGGTGAAGAAAAAACAAACATTCCAAGGATACTTTGCACAGATCACCTAGTATAATTCAGGTGCCACAGTGACTCCTCAGTCAGAGAGATTATTATCTGTTTTTTTTTAAATTTCAACTATTGTTATTCGTACATCAATTGTTATATAAAATGAGTTTTTAATTCATTAGCAACATGTTTATATTCTTTCAAACTAAGATATGAATGTTTTTGATAGCTTTATGTTTCTAGTAATTGTCATAACCCTTTTTAAGAGACTGCAAGAGCTCTTAAGCTTTGGGTAAAACCAAATAATTTTATTATCCAGTCTCCTTCCTTTCTTAATGCTAACTACTCATGTCCACATCACATCAGAGCAAAGTGAATTAGTTTATGCCAGAATGAGTCTTTTCTATATTGCCTTCATTTTCTGTGACTTTTCCCCCCCATTTTTATGTATGTTTTGTTGAATATTTTTTTACTTCCTGTCCTCAAAATATTTATATAATACTCATATAAGAGTATTCAGATTCTTAAAATACAAGAGAAACGTTTATGTTAATTTTAGGAATTATAACGATTTTTCATATCTAGGTTAAAAATAAAATGACAAAGGAACAGTATATTAAGATGAATAGAGGCATCAATGACAGTAAAGACCTTCCTGAAGAGTATCTATCAGCCATCTATAATGAAATAGCTGGAAAAAAGATATCAATGAAAGAAACAAAAGAACTAACAATCCCTACAAAATCAAGTAAACAAAGTAAGTATTCAAATCAGCTAAATCCTGATTGTTCAAGGGGGAAGAGTTTTTCACTTATAGCTAGACATGGTGGCACACGCCTATAGTCCCAGCTACTCCAGGAGGCTGAGGTGGGAAGATGAACTGGGAGGAAGACCTGAGCCCAGGAATTCAAGCCAGGCTGGACAAAATAGTGAGACTGTCTCTTAAAAAATATATAAATATATAATTTAAAGAGTTTTTCTCTTGATTTGGAATAAAGTAACCATTAAATATGGGTTAGACTATGTTTTGATGAGCAGCATTATAATATATAATTTGGTAATATGATTGTATTTTTTCCCTCCACATCCTGAAGAAAGATAACACTGACCAACTATTAATGGAAAGTGCTACATAATATGCATATGTTAGTGTACCTTTAATATATATTCGTCCATTTAGCAGTTAACCTCAGCAAGGATTTATAGGTCAAAGAGATTGGTTGGACAATGCCGATAGTCAAGACTTCAACTTTGTTTTTCTTTCTCTTCATCCTCAAGCAGCACGTTTCCATTTGTTCATCTATTATTACACATAAACTGAAGCTGGAAGTAGGGGTGATTAGAGAAGATGGGGAGGATTGGGGTCATGGGTAGATCGTGGAGTTGGAAATCATCACTTCAAATAGTCCATAAATTGTGTCACTTTAGAGTCCCTAGATTTAACTAGCTTTAGGAGCCAACTGTGAACCCATTTCCATTCTAACACTGTGTATGTGTAGATAATGGTGACTAAATTAACTGAAATCTGATTATAAGAATGAGGTGAGGTTAATGACTCAAGAATATAACAATAATATAGAAAGAGGATTCCTGCTTTGTGAGCAGTTCTACTTGGAAGTGAAATCTCAAGTGTGTACAAATAGCAAAATTCTAGTGACAGGTAATAAGCAATATTATATATTATATCGTTTTCATATCCCTCTTTCTCTGCCCTGTTTTATACATGGTGGTAGGAAATCAGTGATAAGCCAGAAATGGGAAGGAGATGGTCTTATGCTAAAAGCACTAAAATTACCCTGAAAGGTTTGGGCCAGTTGTTTTCATGTTAATTCAGGAGCTGTTATTCAAGCATATGTGGTACAATGATGCCATTGCCTTTTACCTCTCTTTTGCTATTTTTCTATTTCATATTTAAGTTGTTTCCCTAATACTTTAAGAAAAATTCAATGGGTGTTTTAGAATATTTACAATGTTGTGCCAACCTCCACCTCTGCCTAGTTCCAGAACATTTCATTACCCTAAACTAAAACCCCAAACCCATATAGCAATTACTTCTCATTTCCCCTCCCTCCACCCAATAGAAAACAGCAGTATACTTTCTGTTTCTATGGATTTACCTAGTCTGGATATTTCATGTAAGTGAAATCATACAATATGTAACCTTTTGTGTCTGTGTTCTTAGGATAATTTTTAATTAGTGCTAATTACTGGTGTTTATTATTTGTTAGTAAAATATCAAAAAAGAATTCTTAAATGCTTTATATTTTCAATACTAATAGTGTTTATTTTTTCAGATGTAGCCAGTGAAAAACAAAGAAGACTTCTGTATAACTTAGAAATGGAACAGATGGCCAAGACGGCTAAAGCACTCATGGAGGCCGTAAGCCATGTACAGGCACCTTTTACAAGTGCAACACATTTGGAGCATGTGCGGCCCATGTTTAAGGTTAGAATTTCTAGTAATTTTTTGTTGCAGTATACTTTTACAAATCATTTTGTTCAGCGTATTTTTACATTAAGGAAGTATGATGACACAGTATATTAGTGTAGACATAGAAGCTATAACCGTGTGGTAGATATAAATTTTCTGTTATTTAAAGAGAGCAGGAAGAGTTATACAACTATGAGTAATAGGTCTGTAATCTTAGGAATTAGGAATATAAAAGTTTCTAGAGAATATCCTTAATTCTTGGCCTGGTTTTTTCTAAATGAGTTATACTCAAGCCTTTGGAGTTAACTCAGGTTTCAAAGTGATCATGTGGTTCTTGCTTTCTACCATTGCTTTGGGCCCAGGAACTAATGTGAGGGTTCTGAGTATGCCTGGAGCCCAGAAAGTAGGGTCAGGAACAAAAGGAACACGATTTGTGTTTGCGAGTTGATTTAATAAGAATGATATTTACTGTTTCTTTGAAATGCGATTTCCCATTCTTTCTTCATTCTGCTATTCTTTTATTCTATCCTTTTCCAAATTCCAGAATGAGTAAGCACTGCATTATAAGGGTTATAGGAAAATGGAGGGGAGTCTAAGTTTGAAAAGAGAAAGTGGGTAAAGTATATTGCAGTTCATGCGACAGTATGGTAAGGTCATCTGTGAGTTTTCATTCTGATTCTAACTACACGTATGTATGGATAGTAAAAGATGACTGTAAAATTTCTGTGCTTTCCTTCAGCTCTAATATATAATTACTTCTACACCATCTTCAAGGTTTTTGAGATATGGTATTTCTAAAAGTTGATGAAGAATTATGGGATGAAAGTGAGGGGGCCAGGGAGATAATGTTAAAAGGAATAGTACAGTGGAACTGACCATATCTTTTGGAATAACACAGGAAATGATGTTCAAATTAAAGAAGCACCTTTGCTCTTTATTTTGAAATAAATTTTACAAAGTGGCTTTTTGTTTTGTTTTAAATATTCTCATACCCTTACTTTTCTTGGAGTGAAGAGTATAGAAGAATAAGGAGCCAGCTATAACTCTACCACTCAGGAAAAAACTTGTGCGATTATGTTTCTATGCTACTTTTTTGTCTTAATTAAACAGTTGTGATTCTACCATGTATTGAATTTTATATCTTGCTGTTTCTCATACAAGTAATTTACCAATTTTATAAACAACTTTTGTGATCTGTTATCTAGATTAGATGTTGTTTGTTTAAACATCCTCCAAACTAGAATTAAGACTCCTCAGGCATCATTTCCACTTTTATAGTCCTCTTACCTGTTTATGGAGGCCAGAGTGATCTTTTAAAATATAAGTGAAATGCCACCTTCTTTCTCAAAGCTCATCATTGTCTCTGCATGGTACAATAAAACCTAACACACCCACAGCATCTGTAGACCTGAGGTCTGGCTCCACCTGCCTCTCAACACCATTACTAGATCTCTTCTCTCTTGCTATGCTGCAGGCACACCAGCTTTCTTCAGTTTCTAGAACATCCTAAATTCTTTTCAGGGCATTTATACAAGGTGTGTCCTTTCTTTAGAATATTCTTTCATTCTTTGCCTAAGTGGTCTCCAGTTTAAATATCATCTTCTAAGAGAGTTCTGCCCTGACCTCTCTAATCTAAATTAGATCACTTTTCATAACATCCTGTGCTTTTGTTTCATTATTTTATAATTATTTATTTCTGTACAGATGCTCCTTGACTTATGGTGGGGTTATATTCCAAAAAATCCATTGTTAGATGAAAATATTATAAGCTAAAACACATGTAATATACCTAACCTTCTGAACATTTTAGCTTAGCCTCGCCTACCTTAAATGTGCTTAGAACACTTTCTGTTAGCCTACAATTGGACAATATCATCTAACACAAAACCTGTTTTATAATAAAGTGCTGAATATCTCATGTAACTTTTTGAGTATTGTACTAAAAGTGAAAAACGGAATTGTTGTATGAGCACCATCGTAAAGTTTGACAGATTGTAAGATGAACCATTGTAAATCGGGAACTTTCTACATATCCATTATTTATACATTTACAAGGTAAGGGATTACCTCTGTTCACTTCTTTCATTGTTAGGCATATGTCCTGACTTGTGGTAAATGCTCAATAAATATGTGTTACCTAGGAGGAAGGAATGAATACTAAATTTCTAGAATGCGATTCATAATATTAAGGGATATAAACATTTTAAAGAATTTTTAAATGTATTGCCAAATTGTATTCAAAGGTTTATATAGTTATAACTGGATAGTTTTACTGTTGTCCGAGTATTATTTAGATGTAATTTGAGAGGAGATATCATTGTCTTGGTTCCTAGTGGAGTTAAGCATTTTTTTCACTGTCTGAAGAACTATTTGTATTTCTTCTTGTATAAAATATAGCACAGGTTTCCAAATCGACATGCTGTTTCTTTATAATAGGATGTGTAATTTGCTTTTATGTATTTCTTGTAGTTTATAATTATTGCGCTTTATGTGTTTCTGACAGCTTCTCTCTGTAGTGACAGCTCAAATATTATAGATGAAGAAATGTAAGGTTTAGAGAGATTAAATAAGTGGTAGAAGCTGGGCACAGTGGCTCATGCCTGTACTCATAGCACTTTGGTCAAGGCAGGAGGATTGTTTGAGGTCAGGAGTTTGAGACCACTTGGGCAACATAGTGAGACCCTGTTTCTAAACTCAATCAATCAGTCAATAGCACAACTAGGACTAGAATCTAGATTTTATGGTTTATGTTCTTTCTTTAGAGATTACAAACTTTTACTTCTCAACTTTCTGAAGTTTAAACAAAGCTCTGGGTAATTTTGTTTTCCTTGGTAATGCTAAATGCTTTATAGATCTTTTAAATATTCCAGTTGTCATTTCCATAACATGTTGGTATAAACATTTTTCATGTTTGTGGTTATATGGCTATGTAATTTTGCTTAATGATTATTTATTTAAAGCAGTTGAATACTCTCACAGCAGACATTTCAAAGTTAGGTGTTTCATTAGGATTTTCAGTAGTCAAAAAGTAGGTCTTGTTTGTCTTATATTAGAGCTTCATTAGGTAAAGTTTTTTTTTTTTTTACATTATTTGATAGTTTGCTATGGAATATTAAAAGTAATTTACAGCATAATTATAAGGTCATACATATACAGAGCACTACAAAATTTTAATCTGCTTACAATAAAGTGACATTAGGTTTCTTTATATATATATACATATCAATAGTTTTTATTTTGATATTGTGGGGTACAGTTAAGGGTTAGGTATACAAATATGCTTCGTTCAGGCACCCTTGTTGATAAGGGGT